AGATAGATAGATAGATAGATAGATAGATAGATAGATAGATAGATAGAGTGAGTGAGGAAAATAAGTATTTGAACACCTTGCTATTTTGCAAGTTCTCCCACTTAGAAATCATGTAGGTGTCTGATATTGTCATCAGAGGTGAATGTCCACTGTGAGAGACATAATTTGAATTTTAAAAATACAGAAATCATATTGTATGATTTTTTAAAACTATTTAATTGTATTCTACAGCTTCAAATAAGTTTTTTCATCCCATTGCACACCGGTTGTGCGATACAGTATTGTACACGTAAAAAATAGATACTGTTATTGGTCCAGTTCTGCTCTGACTTGGGCAGATAAGCTGTAGACTCTTGCAAAGTTTGGGAAACATTTCCAATAGAGTGTTGAGTCTAGCTAGCTAGATAGATAGATAGATAGATAGATAGATAGATAGATAGATAGATAGATAGATAGATAGATAGATAGATAGATAGATAGATAGATAGATAGATAGATAGATAGATAGATAGATAGATAGATAGAGTGAGTGAGTGAGGAAAAGTATTTGAACACCTTGCTATTTTGCAAGTTCTCCCACTTAGAAATCATGGAGGGGTCTGATATTGTCCACTGTGAGAGGCATAATCTAAATTTTAAAAATCCAGAAATCACATTGTATGTTTTTTTAAAAACTATTTAATTGTATTCATCAATAAATACTGTTATTGGTCCAGTTCTGCTCTGACAGATAAGCTGTAGACTCTTATATCCGTAGGTAGGAACGACTTCCTGTATCGTTCTCAGGTTGAAGGAGTCTGTGTCTGAATCTGCTCTTTAGCCCGTCCAGAGTTTTTCGGGGGGCTATGTATATGTTTATGTTTATGCATTTGGCAGACGCTTTTATCCAAAGCGACTTACAGAGTAGACACAATAATTACATTTTTCATCACTATGACAATAAGCTATATAGAGGAAAAACACTGATCAGAGTCAGTGGTGAGATAGAGGTAGAGGTAGAGGGACTACAGAAGGAGCTGTGGGGGGTAGAGGTACGGGTTAGGGTTAGGATAGGAGCTGTGGGGGGGTAGAGGTACGGGTTAGGGTTACGATAGGAGAAGCTCTTTGAAAAGGGGGGTCTTCAAGAGTTTCTTGAAGACAGACGGGGACTCTGCTGTTCTTGTGGAGCTTGGTAGGTGGTTCCACCATCTTGGAACGACACATTAAACAGTCTGGATGGTCTTCAGCTGGTGAAGGCTCTGCTAGACCACAGTCCACTGATGACCGGAGTGATCGAGTTGTGACATAAGCCTTTGCAAGGGGATTCAAGTAGATGGGAGCCATACCCTTAAGCACTTTGTAGGCTAGCATCAGGGACTTGAATTTGATACGGGCAGCCAGAGGTAACCAGTGGAGTTGGAGTTGGAGTGGGCTATGCTAGCATCCCCTGCTCAGACCTACGCACTGTGCTGGTCCTCAGGTGGTGAACGTGCTGCGCGCCCAGCTGGCCCAGCTGGAGGAGGTGAAGCGGGAGAGGGAGGCCCTGGAGGGCGAGATCAAGGCCGTCACCTTCGACATGTCCGCCGCCTTCCTGACGGCTTTGGCCCAGGACGGCGCCATCAACGAGGAGACGCTGTCCCTGTCCCAGCTGGACAAGCTGTACAGCGGCTACAACCAGAGGGTGCAGGCCAGCCTCCACACGCAGGAGCAGCTGCTGGGCCAGGTCCAGGTACCGGAGGGAGAGGGTATCGATGGGGTTTAGCACTCATTAGGCAATTCCTATAGCACATTTCCTGTACAAGAGAATTAAAAGTGCTTCACAGAGAATTTAACTCATTGGCTGCCAAAGACGTCTATAGACGTCTTTTATGTTTTTCAACGTGAGTGGCTTGGGGGACGATCTGCTAAAGCTTGTCCGTAAATATCAGGCTTCTAGACAGAGTATGTAGTAACAAATTGACCCTCTAGGTGGCACTGCCACTTTTGATGGGAGATGAGCATAGATTGTAGGCAAATAATAAAAAAAACGCAATGGTTTGCTATGCGAGAAATGGCGCCGGTGAGACGCACGTCGAGGAAAAACGGAATAAGGTAGAAACAATTTTTTTTTTCCTGATGAAAGAAGAGATTCTACTCTTCCTTTTGGTGTGTTCGGTGTTTACATAGTCATAGCACAAACTATTCTGGGGCTCTTGAAAAATCAGTCAAAATGCTCAAAAAACTCTGGCAGTATGGGACTCTGTTCTGAAAATGGCTGGCAGTCAATGAGTTAAAAGCAGAAAAACAAGAAAAGAAAAAGAATCAAAATAAGTCAGATGAAAAGTTAAGGGTGCTGATAAAATACATTCAATTTCCATCTGCACAGCTAAACGGAAGCGTTTTCAATTCAATTATTTTATTTGATTGCTCATGACCGTATACATGGTTTGGAGCACAAACAATATATATAACAGAACAAAGTAACGCATATACATTAAAACTATAACATCATCGATAAAATGGGAGGGCCCATTTCAAAAAAGCACCCAACTTACAAATTATTTTCTTTTTTCCAGACTGAGATAATGAAACCACTTTAAACATCGATAATACTGTGGAAAATACTTCTCTCTGTAATGGCATATTTCTACATTTTTACACTCAAACAAAACATGATACTCATCTCCAACACAGATATCTGGACAGAGTTGACGTAATCTTAACTTTCTCTCTAAACCTTTAAACCGACCAGTGACTTTAGGGATTCTAGTGTTGTTTGTTACAACACCAGAATGGTTACAGATGGCCAGATTAACCTGGATTTAAACACTGTCAGAGTTTAAGCCTGTCTCACATCTTCAGGAGGACTGATCCAGATTTTAGGAGCATGGAACTGAAATTAAGCATCCCCTTGTTTAGTTCTGACTCTGGTCCCAAGCAGGAGACCAGAACCTGAGGTTCTCAAAGACCGAACTGGTTCATATGGCTCTAACACTATTACTATTGCTCACAACAAGCTAACAAAAAAGAAACAAACGCTAGCAGTTCGGTCAGCAGCTGCAAAACGAAGTCCAGAGACGGGGAAAGTTTGCTGGTGCTGGAGGTTTTTCTGAGCCAGGAGGAGTTAGCCTGACCGCCTCTTCCCTTCCAGACGTCGCACCAGGAGTTCAGCAGCCTGAAGCAGTCCAACGCGGAGGCCAACCAGAGGGAGGAGGTCCTGAAAAAGCTGGCTTCTGCCCACGACAGCTACGTGGAGATCAGCAACAACCTCCGCGAAGGCACCAAGGTTCTGCTGACACACAGATCCTCATTCCCCCGTTTTTACGAACACCAGGTGGTTTATTTCTCTCTGTTTCTTCCCTCAGTTCTACAACGACTTCACGGAAATCCTCCTAAAGTTCCAGAACAAATGCAGCGACATCGTTTTCGCCCGCAAGACCGAGAGGGACGAGCTGCTCAAGTACGTGTTTGCGTCCCCGGGGGAAAACTGGGGGTTCAGACCTGAGTCAGACTCCAGCACAGGAATAATGAATGATTTGGCCTCTGAGGCTCTAAAACCGGACCGTTCGGTGGGCTGTCAGGTCAGAGCTCAGGGAGCCTTATTCAGCTCAGTTTAGCTTCAGCGAGCCTTATTCAGCTCAGTTTAGCTTCAGCTCACTTCTGATTATGGAATATTCTCACCAGAGTGAGAGGGTTGGGGCTTGGTGCCCACTTTTCCTGTGTAAAGGAAAAGATCAGCTCCACATCTTTCACTGTAATCTGAGTGTAGGAGCCTTTTCAGCCTCCGTTCTGATTAACGATCATAATGGATATCTGTAGTAACTGAATGTGGCTGTTTTCGAGTTTCAGCTGGGCAGCAATCATGTCCCAACAGCCTCAAATTACACAAAACCTTTCAGTTTTTTACGCATTTATCCAAAGCTACTGACAAAAAGTCGCATTTAAAAGTGTGTTTGAAAAAACATTCAGCTCCAACTCCAGTTCCACTCTTAGCTTAAGGGTTTAACATTCCGCTAAAACATAGATTGCACAGGTATCATACTTTAATGCTACATGCTATCAGGAAATAAGAGCATTTAGAGCTTTAATAAGAGCATTTAGAGCTTTAGTAAGTGCATTTAGAGCTTTACTAAAAGATTTAGAACTTTGATAAGTGCATTTATCGCTTTAAGAAGAGATTTAGAGCTTTAATAAGAGATTTAAAACGAGACAAAAGCAGCGCATTACATTTCAGCATCTAGCAAACGCATTTATCCAAAAAGAGGGTTTAACATCCAGGTAGAACATAGATTACTCAGGTAGCATCTATTGATGCTACATGCGTTCAGGAAATAAGAGATTTAGAGCTTTAATAAGAGATTTAGAGCTTTAGGACCAGAGACTCTCTGGAAGAGCTGCATCTCCAAGGGTTTCTTGCAGGAGGAAAGAGAATCTGATCTGATGCTTTTAAGGTCGATCCACTAGCATGGATGAGTAGAGTCCAGATTAATTGTAGGGGCTGGTCTCAGATTACACAAACTTCACTCTGCTGGCCATTTCCAGGCTAGTCTCTGTTTAAAGCCGCCACACCGGCGATATCAGAATCAGCTTTATTAGCCAAATATGTGAGACCATAAAAGGAATTTTACTCCGGATGTTTCTCACTTCTGTGGAGTTGCGTACAAAATACAAAAATCAGGTGTTAGTATTCACAAAAAGAACAAAATATATGTACATAGTGCAGATGTAGAATAAGTGTACATGTGTGGAAATAATGGATGGGCCTTGGTGAGAGGTGAATTATGGGTAATTGGCGAGACAGCCTGGGGGAGGAAGCTGTTTTTGTGTGTTGGAGGGCAGAGTTCGGCTCAGAGCGTCTGTGTTCAGGCCTTGAGGCTCTGAGGGGTTAGTGGTTCTCACTGTCAACTTTATTTATATAGCACATTTAAAATAACCAAGGTTGCCAAAGTGCTGTACATAAAAAGCATGTATATGTGATTTTAATGTATAAATAAATAAATAAATAAAAATAAAAAGGTAAAAAGGTGCTCTACCTCAGCCTACGGTTCAAATGTGTGCTCTGTTGTGTTTCAGGGAGCTCCAGCAGAGCATCGCCCGGGAGCCCAGCGCCCCGTCCTTCAGCGTCCCGGCCTATCAGAGCGCCCCGGCGGGCCCCGCCCCCGGCCAGGGCCCCCCCGCCCAGGGCCCCACCCCCGCGCCCAGGAGCGTCTTCGTAAGCGTCCGCCCCGGGATAATTAACAATTATTTCCTCGTTATTTCACTAATAAACACATTTATACATCTTGATTTACACGTCTGAATGGGAAAATGGGAAAAACACAAATTCCTTTGTAACGCATGTTTATTACTCTCCAACTCTAAATTCCAAAATATAATTCAAGTAAGAATATAAAAGTGCAGAATGATCTATTCTGAGTCAGCTTTCACAGAAAGAATACTTCTAGTCCAACTGAAAGAATACATAACTAATGTAAACTTGGGGGCTTTAAGCTGATACAGGAAGTGTTTTTCCAACAACAAAATAAAAACAAAAGCATCTCGTCATGGCGTCATTTCCAGCTTTTAAACCAAGGTGATAAATCAGGTCAAAGGAGACGTGACAGATCTCATCACATCTCAGAGGTTCAGCGGTTTGTCTCCTGTCTTTGATGCTGTAACTCAGAGGTGTCAAACCTGTTTCTTTTTTTTAAACTTTATTTATTGAACATTTTTTTAAACCAATAACATACAGAGTACAAAGTATGAAGACGGCACATTTAGTAGCACAACTGTATGCAAACAACCCAAAACAATACCCAGCAACCCCCACCCTCCCCTTTACAGAACACACAAGCATTCACACACATACACACGCTCACTCTTTGGGGAGAAATAAACAAAAATAAACAATAAATAAAAATAATAAGATAAAATAGAAAATCAGAAGGGAAAAAATAAATAAATAAATAAATTAAATTAAATTAATTAAATAATATATATACAAAATAAATAAATAAAACACCCTCTCTCCTACACAACCCCCAGTTCTTCAGAGTTATAATTAAGAGATTCTGTGTGTCGTAGAAAAGGGTCCCAGGTGGAATTGAATAATTTTACAGAACCTTTAAGTGAAAATCTGAGTTTCTCAAGCTTCAGGTTGTAGAGCACCTCCCGGATCCAGTGGATATGTGAAGGAGGATGGGCAAGTTTCCAATTAAGCAAAATCAATTTACGGGCCAGAAGGGTTGTGAATGAAACGAAACCTTTTAACATCTTGGGCAAGTGGGTAGTGGGAAGGACACCAAAAATTGCAGACAGGGGATTAGGAGCAATGGTGCGGCCATAGGCCAAACCCAATGTGGTAAATATATCAGACCAAAACGACGTCAGTTTAGGACACGACCAAAACATGTGTACATGGTTGGCCGGGGATAAGTGACACCTGCCTCCGGGGGCTGACCTGTTTCTGTTTCTGTCCCTGGCCCCAGGTGCCCCAGCAGCCGCAGCAGAAGCCCCAGCCGCCCTCCAGGCCCCCCCCGCCCAGCTTCACGCCCCAGGCCGCCTCGCCGGCCCCCGCCGGGGCCCCGCCCCCCGGGGCCCCCCCCACCGGGGCCCCCGGCACCAACCCGCCCCCCCAGGCGCCGGCCTCCGGGGCCCAGGGGCCCCCGTACCCCACCTACCAGGGATACCCGGGGTGAGTCCCATCTGGAGCA